ATTCCTGACTGGGTTTTGTCTTCAGGGTATTGCGTGCTCGGGTCCACTGCAGAGATCAGCCCTGGAAGGCTGATGCAGCAGCAGGGAACACATCAGCTGCACTGGCCCTGCAAGGACTCTGGACTCTCAGAACAGGCAATACCAGTGGGAGAAGTGTGTCATGATGGTGTAACCATGACCAGACTCCTGCCTTCTCCAAAACAAGCTGCCCTGCCAGAGACATCTGCACCCATCTCTGTGCCAGCCACAGTGAATCAAGCCACTGTCTGTGTGGGCTTTTTTTTCCCCTTTAATGCAGCTGCCATATATCCAAAAAACAAGTCACTAGGAACATAGCACTATTAGTCAAATCAACTTTGTTTTTAAGAGGGATGACAAGCAATGATACAGTTCACAAGTAGGGAGTGTCAGTGGGTGGGAGTATTATGCAGTTTTCCAAGCTCTTTTCTTCCGTGTGAGCAAATTTTCATTCTTGCAGAGACTTTCTGCATAATTGCTGCTGAAGGTCACATAACATTTATTTTTCCCAAGCTCCCAGGCAGAGTGAACTGGTCAAAGGCTTGGGATTCAGATGGAGAGGAAGTGCTGCTCCTCCAAGCCATGGCACTGCTGTGGATTTGAGGTTCTGGAAGAAGAGCCTGCTCTGCTTGCTGGTTGCTTTCTTCGTTTCTTCATTTCTTCCACATCACTGGTCATTCCTACACTGGGATATAGATGGCGCAAAGCTTTTTCCACTGCACCTTCCAAAGAGTAACAACAGTGTCTTTCCCAAAATACTTTATGCCAGTTCCACCTCCAAGGACATCTGTGATATCTGCCTCCAAATAATAAAGACTAGCATAAAGTAGAGGTTTTTACAGACTATCCTCTTTTCCTCCTCATTAGCCTGCCAGCTTCATCTCTCAGCCCATGCTAAGGTCAAGAAACACCTTGTGGGAGGATCAGCATAATACAAAATTTCTCACAGAGTCTCTGTATTCCTCAAAACTTCTGAGACACGGGAGAACTTGACAGAGCACGAATATGTTGCTGGTGAATCTGTTTTTGATATTTGGCTGTGCGGGATGTACTGGTGGGGCATTTTTATAAGCTATAATTTAATGACCTGAGAGCTTTATTTCTGCAGGTCTCTAAATCAGGGCAGTTAGGTAGCCTGATGTTTTGTAATCCATTTTACTTAATTAAAGTATTCCTGTTGGCTGGGTGCAAAAATATGTTACCCTGTGACTACTACATGATGAAAAGAGACATCAGTAGTGTATGTGACTCCTTCTTCAGAATCCATCAGAGCTAGGGCCTCTGTAGTTCCTCTGGAAGAGAATTAGCATATCTGTTATTGATATGTTTTTGGGGTTTGGGATTTGGGGTATTTTTTGGGCTGTGTGTTTTTTTTCTCTCATTTCCAGCTGCATCAATTTCCTGACTACAAGAATTAAATTGTTTAGTTATCTGCAATGTGCACAGACTTCTGTGAAGCTTTACAAAAGAAACTTTGCTGTTAGGCTAAGAATGGTTTATTGTAGCACCTGCAGTTCCTAAAATCCTGAGCTGTTAATGAACTGAACAACTTTTCCTCCTTCTTAGCATGAGAAACACTTCTCATGATCTTACTCATGAAAAAAATTGCATTGGGGTCCCCTCATAAGTTTTCTTGGGTTTCTGCCATTGGAGGAGGGAGTCCATAAGCAGCAGCATCTGGCAGAACATCTGCATCAAGTCCCTGCTGACATCCCGAGATCTGTCTGCCCAGGCTCACTCCTCCCTTCATAGAGAACTTGACACATCGTGTACCCCATTGCCAGACAACATCAGCAAATATTTCTCTCTAAGGGAGGCTGTGTCAGTTTTTCAGTGTGTTCATCCTGTGTTACCTCATCTCTCACCTGATGGAAGACTACTCAGACTCTTTTCAAACTGCCTAGGCTCTCTGGAAGAAACTGATGAAGAACCTTGATGTGAGCAAGCTGGAAAGCCTGATCTAGGTGCAAAGATCAAATTTAGCCTGCTCCAGACCAATGATCAAGGAGTTCTAATTCTTTACAAATGACAGGAAAATTAAGTCACTAAGATAAATGCCAATGAGTAGATGTGACAGATCTGTTCCTCGAGGCTTTGCAAGGAAGCAGCAAGGAAGTGCTGAAGGTCCCTAGGCTAGCTCTGTAACTGTTTGGTTATAATTTTTTTTTTGTTATTCTACATCACTTTGAGTTATAAATTGTTGTAAATACCCTCTGGTAGACCCTTTCAAAGCAATTGAGTAACTCAATATTTAACAAAGATGCACTAATTTTCTTGTTTAAGTTCTGGGAAATAAAAGATCATTTTTCATTCTGAGTTGACAGTGATGACCCTTACACTAGTGGTGAAATAGCTTTGTGGAAATTATTCTAGAGATCTGTACTGTAACGAATGGTAGATCAATGAAATCTTCCTTTCTGTATTTGCATCATTTTTTAAATAGAACATGTTTGATGCCTATGCACAACTTCTATGCTGCAGAAACGATTCTTATTTCCAAATGCCCTTGCTCATAGGGAATATTTCTTCTTTTTTTCTATCTGTAAAGATACATAAAACAGAATCTATCTTTTCCTGTAGATAGGAATTAATTTAGTAAGAGGCATCTCTTCTGTATATAGGAGCCTAATATAGTGTAGAATAAACACTTGCCACTGTGGGTTTGAGGGTGCTACATTCACAAGCAAAGTGGGCTGTCTCAGATGTGCTGCCTCTCCATCACCCCATAACACTGACAAAAGCCCAGTCACACCCATGTGTACATGAGAAGTTGAATAATGCATGGGAACAGTCTCTTTAGCGTTTATTTCAGTCCTTTCATTTGTTCTTCAGGCATTTCCCACTTCATCCTGATATCAACTTGAAAATTTCCTAAGACAGAAGGTAAAGCCTGCTTACAAGGAAAAATTTCAAACCCACTGCTCTTGTTGGAGTCATACATCTGATATTTCTGTGGAGAATTTACCAAATTTCATCATCACAGTCTTCAGAAAAAGTAATACATATTGCAAGTAATTCGTATTTTGAGGTAACCCTTAACCTAAGGGATGTGATGATCATTCTGTAACATTTCAGATGAGAACCTATATTTGACTGAACTGTATCACTGAAACATAAAGGCCACTCTTCTATTAATCAAAGGCAGCTGATGATCAGTTTATGAGAAACTAAAAAATTCAGATGTATTCTCATGAATAACAGAGTCATGTTTATAAATTATTTTAATGTATAAGTGCAAGGACTGTCAAAAATAATTCACAAGAACAGGCTGCTCTTCAAAATAAACATCTATACAATGTACCGGGAGAATGCCCCCACATATATTGCCTAACTTGAAATTAATTTGTGGCTTTGGTAATGATCTAAAAAAGCCACTTTACTCTCTTTTCTGTTTAGTGCATCCTGTTATTACTGGAGCAGCAGAGATAGAGTGGAACAAAGGCAGAGTACTGCCTGAGAAGAGCAGCTCAAGAAAGACTATGATTAATGAACAGATAAACATAAACACGGTCACCTGCAGTCATGAGCTCTTTAGGGCAGCAAAAACTCATGATCCTGTTGTTAAAACAGCACTGCCTTAAGTAGACAAACATAGTACCTTAGGTCATCTTAAGCTGAAGGAAGTCATCAAAAGGGAAGCAGGGAAAAACATGAGTTTCACAATGCTTGCAGCTCTAAATGTTCCTCAGGCAGGAAAGGCTAAATAAAACTGCCCTGAATCCACAATTTGCTGTCCTCACCAAAACAGAAAAAGTTTACTACATTACGCAGTAGCAGTGACTTGAGCCTCTTCAGCTTCAGCCAGGTGAGAGCAGGGGAGATGGCAGGTCACTCCCCAGCCCCTCCTTGCCAAAGGATAAAAAGGATAAGGCAGCAGACTCATACTACCAAAGAGCAGTAGGCATGAGTGTGGCATTCCTTGACTGGATAGGAGTCCTACAGAGAGTAAGTGAAACAACTATGCAGAACAGTTTCAAAAGGACAACAAAAGACAATTTTTCTGGCATAGTCCTAAGAACCTAATAAATAAAAGTGAAAACGCTGAATGACTCAGCTTCTATTTACTTGTGATAACAAATCAAGCACCAGTAATGGCAGGAGACTCACCCTGTAGGTTAAGTTCTGCTCTGTTCTTTTTGTAGCCTGTCCAAAGCAATCCAGGACTGCAGTTCTACTCTAAACACCAGCAGCTCCCCACTGAGCAGGAGAGATGCTTTAGGAGTGCAGAATCAGCAAAAGGGCTCCCTTGCCATTTCCCTCCATATCCCTCCTCTCTGCTAATAGTCTCACAGGAGAAGGGGCCTCTAGAGAAATGTGGACATTGACCGTGTCAGAACATTTACATTTAACTCTGTAACACACACACAAAGCTACGCTAACTTGGCACAATGTGACTTTTTTACACATAAAGGCAGCAGCAACTACTCTGACTTATGGCTTATGTAAATCCCCAAATCCTCTTTCTTACTTAAATAAATGATAAGGGTGCTCCAGACACCTTTATCTCCATGTGGCCCTTTTATTGTCCTATGAAAAAGAAGAAGTTGTGGTAGCTCTGACTTGATATCAGACCTAGCTCTTCTTGAGCAACATGGTGGTTGGCTCCTGGAAGAACAGGCCATTTTGCTTCAATTTTCTTCCAGTCTTGTTTCTGGAGGACGTGTGACAGAACAATGACATCTGTTTGTCACCAAACTCTAAACTCCGAACTCCACACTCACCTCCTGTGGCAGCACTATTTTATATTTCTACAATATCTTTGTGAAATGGCAAAAAGAGTACTAAAGACCTTAATTTTTTTAATCTTTTAATTTTAAACTTAAAATCTTAAGTTTTCCCATGGTGCAGCAAAATGAAGCTCTTTGTAGCTCATATTTGTAACTAACATGGACATATACCTTTAAGGGAGAGTTTGGGAATGGCATGAACCGTGGTCCAGGGTAGACAGCTTTGGAGAATAAGACAACAGAATCAAGCCTATTGATTAACTAGTCAAGTATTTATTTGTTTTTAACAAGCAAAACCAGTACAACAATCATGGAAGCTTGAAAAAATGTAGCACTGAAAAAAGTATTCATGCAGAATGAGTATTGTACTTGAACTATCCTCCACAATCATCAGTTAGTCTGTCCCAATATTTATAGTTCATCATTACAACTGCCAAAACTGGCAACCACCAGGATTGTTGTCTCAATTAAGGACAGTAAACAGATTGTCTCATTTTTTTAATGAAAAAATCTAAAATGTAATACTTCACAGTTTAACATGTTTATTCATTTAAACGAGCTAAAAAATAGTGGTGTGACATCTGCTTGAGAGACACTGGTACCTAACATTTTGGCTGTCTCCCCACTAATTTGATTGTGATTAAGGGGGGATAAAAGGATGAGTAGAGGATTCTGTCAATTAAATGAATTGATGAACTGCAAGATTTTTTTTTCACTCTTGGAAATGTGTAGAAAGAAATACATCTACAAAAATGCATTACAGTAAACTAAGAGGATGATGGGGAAAAGTACTGCAAAGTATCTCTGCTGGCTCTTTCAGGGAAAAATATTGTAAGCATAAGATCACAGATAAACTTTGCCAATTTATTCATCTCATGGCTTCACTTCCCAAAGTGCAGGCATAATCCACTGTAAAATCTTTTAGGATGCAGTTCCAACATCACATTTCTGCTGTCTTATTGATGTGCCATATTGTTATTTCCTTAGTCATAAGCACCACTAATTACTATACTGCTGTAAGTAGAACTTGAAATGTGATCAAGATCTGTAGTATCATTTTTGTTGGCACTCTAACTTGCCTACTCTGCTTTTCAAGTACAGTTCTCTACAGAGAATCATCCTGAATGCATTTGACCTTCACCAACTGGCTCAGCTGTGCCTTACAGGGACAATCCCTTATCAATCACCACTCTACAGGGAGATCCTAGCAGCATTTTCCTTCTGTAAATGGCAGCATTCAAAACTTGGCCCCAAGTCAGCAGATGAGCCTCTTCCATGGTAGCAACTTTCATGGAAGAGGCATGAACAGTTTTGTAGGGCTTCCATTCTGTTTTCCTTTAGTAGAGTTGTTCAAAACCTATGTTTTCAAACAAAACATTTAGGTCAACTGCTCTAGAGAACACCTAAGTAAACAAATGGGTTTGCTCATATTGGAGCTACCTGCAGCTACGTGTTGCAGCATAATCTCCCAGTGTGCATGTCCTGCTACAGACCTGCTGCAGCTGGTCTGATGCATGGAAGGAGATGATTCTGAATCACATGATGCCTATAGGATATGCAACAGTGAACTTTAATTACAGCATCCTTCAAGAAAAGTTTAAATGTATCTCTGGGGTCTATTAGGGAAATGCTTAACATGCCTCCTAAGCTTCCAGTAAAATATGTTTATGGACTCTAGCTAGTAGAGCTAGATGGAGCCTTTCCTTGGCAATATTCACTAGAAGCACTAGTAAAAATACTAGACTGAGGCTTCTGTCCTGAGATGGTCTACATGCTGGTTCTGCTTTAAGAATGAAAGAGAAAAGAAAACCACCTAGGAAGATTTACTGAGCAAAATCATTGCTGGAAGACTGTTATGTCTTCCTAGTCAGAGATTCTTCCAGACAGGACATCTGCTCCCACCCACAGCACAAGGACTCAGTACAGGCATCTTCTCCACAATCTCTGCTAGAAAGAAATTCAGTTTATTCCAGGAGTACAGGGCAACTACCGATGTCTACCTTTTCCTTCAGGTGAACACATTTGAAAAAACTCAATAAGCCAGGTTTGCCATATAAATTATTTGAACAGCAATCCTTTGAAACAAACATATAAAATTATTAATTCTATAATAAAAAAAGTCTTGTACGACTGAAGTGATAGAACTGCATGGATCAACTGCAGAAAGAGATATGATCTATTAGTATTGGGTTGGATGCCAAAGGAAGTTCTCTACATTGTCTCTTAAGTATGCATAGGCCACATTTAGTTTTAGTATGAGTTTAGTGGCTAGAACTGCCTAAAGTAATCCAGATATTCTAAAACTGACATCAGTGCTTACTTCTGAACATTGTGCTGTTTAGATTGCTTTATTGTCCTTTCAAATGTATACATAATTCAGTGTATTCAACATTAATAAGAGAACCAAAATAGAAAAAAACCCACATTTATTAATAAAATAGACACTGGGGAACTCATACAAAGATAGACAGTCCAAAATCCAAAAGGCATATTTCAATCTCAGATATAATTAAGGGCAAAATAAGCCACATGTCCCATTAGGAATTATTGTACTGATAAGAGAAGAAGTGTATTTGCTGCAATATTTACCATGTATTTCTACATACACTAAACAGAAGTCTACCCGGTCTAAGCAAAAACAAATTTTCCTGTTATATGAGACTATACTTCTAGTACCTGAAGGGAGCCTACAAAAAAGATGGACTTTTTACAAGAGCATGTAGTGACAGCACAAGAGGGAGTTGATTCATACTAAAGGGGAGTAAGTTTAGATTAGACATCAAGAAAACATTCTTTATTCTGAGGGTGGTGAGGCACTGGAACAGGTTGCCCAGAGGAGTTGTGGATGCCCCATCCTTGTACGTGTTTGAGCCCAGGACAGGGTTTTGTGTAATGTGCTCTAGTAGAAGGTGTTTCTGCCCATGGCAGAGAGGTTTTGGAATTAGATGATCTTTTGCATCCCTTCTAACCCAAACCATTCAATGATTTCATTATTCTATGATTTTTCATGCAAATGAAAAGACCTAATCCAAACAAAGCCAATAGACAAACTGCAAACTGTGGGCAATATGGACTCATAAGCCACACATCAGGGAAGCTGACAGAATCACATGTATATGCACTTCAGATTTTCTCTGATTCACAGTTATGGGAAATGGAATATTCCTGTTCTAGGAACTTCATGTTCACAAACTTGACAGCAAGAATTGCTTGTTTTTTAATGCAACCAATTGAGAGAGCAGGTTACGAGATGACCTGCATGAAGGGAGTAACTACCCATCTTTCTCAGACCATACAGGACCCAGAGGGCTGTATGCTGACATTAATGAAGCAATCCTTCCAGCATGTTATAGAACATGAAAACTGCTAATGTAAAGTAACAGGAGAGGTCTGCAGCTTCTGTGACATGTGGTTGGGTGCTGGTGAGGTAAAAGGCATATCACATCCAAGGAGACAGCTTGTGATATGCCTTTCCTTCCACTGGAAGTTGGGCCATGTGTCAGATAATGCTTCACCATAAACTCAACATGCTGCAAGGTGTTTGCCCATGTGTATGACTAGTACCGGACTGTAAGTCATATGCATGCATAAATGTTAAGATTTTGTCTGTAACAGTCATAATTAGAAAAGGAGATATATTTGCATATATAAGTTTCTATTTCATATATTTTTTGGAAGACTGTTGTACTCTGAATTTCTAGAGGAGCTGTTTCGCATGGCATGAAGTGAATGAAGATTATGACACATATGAAGTGGATCCCTAGAGACTCATAATGTATATGGTCATAGTTACTGTATGTTTTAAAAATTAACTGTATTGATCCAAGTTTCTTAAGTGGTGATAATGGGACTGTGTCAATTTAAAAGAAATATATTTCCCATTATAATACTTGCTGTGATTTGTATCCCTTTGTCTTCAAAATCACTATAAGAAATCTTAGTCAGGCATCTCAGAATAAGACAGTAAATACCTCAGTTGCAATTAAACCTAACATTCAACTCTGAAATTTATGTCAAACGCAAAACTAAGCTAGTTCACTAACTTCAGAATTACAAAAACTTTTCTGAAAGTCAGTCTGCCTAAATTTCCTTGCCACATTCAGCACCAATGGCTCTATGCGTTCTTGATATCAAACTGACTCAGAACTGAATCTCAGTCAGAGAAAGACTGACCACTTTTTTTAGAGGATCAAAACTGAGTCTTTACATCCACAAGCTCAGTTCTATGCCAAACTCAAAGCAGAACAGGATAAAGACAGAATTTAAAAGCTCCCTGCAGCTGCTCTGACACACCAAATTCTTCAAGTGGCTTTTGGTTATCAAAAAGAACAAAAATGCTATCTACAGTGCCTAATTTGAAGGGCACTTTGTAAGAGCTGAAGGATGTAATGGAGCCAAGATTTACAAGTTATTAGTATGCCAGGAAAAAGAAAAGTGTTTTCTTATTACTTACAGCCTCTCACATTAGTGTGATGATTAAAATTACTGTATAGCTCAAAAGGAATGTTTTTATACAACATGCCCCTAACAGGTAGAGCAAGTTGATACCAAAACCATCAGGAAGAGCATAATTAAAATACTATTTTGACTTTATATTAATAGTAGACCAATACACTAATTAAAACCAACATTGACTAAACTTCCTATTTACACTAGTTCAGACAGCACAGGAGGCAAAGAACTGTGTTTCAGAAGCATATGTGAATGTTAGAGCTTCTGTCATCCAGGTGCCATTTCTAACAGAACACATGTGTGCTGAACAGTTGGCAAAAGAATGAAAAAGATTACTGCAGATATATGGGCACACAGAATCTGGAATGACAGAAAATTAAGTCCATATAGAAGGTGACAGACTGCTTGTAAGAAGTTATTTTTTCCTACAATTTCTTCCATCTTCATGCATGTGCACACATGCACAGGAAAGATTAAAAGGGAGAGAAAGGATGAGGAGGTTTTGATATATTTTAAACACAAATGAAGAAGATGTTTTATTTGGTATTTCTGCTTTCTTTATAGAAAGGAACAGGAAAGTAATTTGGTTATTAGGAAGCTCTGATTCCTAAATTTGGTCAAGGCAGACGCTCCTCCTGTGAAGTCAGCATCAATACCCACGATAATAGTAGCACCTGTCTTTTGACATCAAAGTTCCCTGCCTGAGAAAAAATAACGTAAACAATAAACTTCATGTATTGTACTGTTCCTCCTGGCTTTGGTGTTAAACAAACACACTTGGTCAGGCATAAGTGTTCTTATTTTGGAGACCTGGAATGTGACTGACGTATTGCAAAACTTTCTTATGAATTTGGACTGGAAGAAATGGCATCGTTTACTGTCTTACAGTGAAGGGACTGTATGTTCCTATGTAGTCTTGTTGAAGCTGAAGAAATCTTGATGATAGATTCATTACATCTGCTAGTTTTCATCTGGATCCAGATCAAGGTCAACTTCATTGGAAACATTAAGATAAAAAAAAGCATAGAAAGCCAACAAAAATACCAGTATAGCTGCAAGGACAAGAGCAACTTCCTGTAGAAATAAAAGAAAACAAAAACATGTTAGCAATAATACCACAGTTTCAGTTTAATCAGGAATAAATATTATTTTCCTTCTACAATGCACATCAAAATAACATCAGACATATATAATTGCATAAGGCATTGATGGTTTAATGATTTCTCTATTGTGGTTACAATTTCAAATATTGTAGAATCCATTCACTAAATAAAGATTTCAGTGAGTTGGATATACAATCAGAAAGAGGATATTTAGCTTTAAAATATTTAATCTTACCTAGAAATAGGAGATTAATATATTTTTATTATCCTATTCATTTTTTTTTAAAGGAAAAGACAGAATTCATAAACCACAGTTTTGAACACAAATTTAAGTTATGAATTTACACTGTGAATTTTGATGTTTTCTAGCAATATGTTACTGCTTTTTGCCAACAAATTTGTAATTTTTTAATGAAGCAAACACAGTATGGTGGAAGTCAATGAAAATTGCTACCTCTACCTCCCAACCTCCTGGCATGCAGTACAATATGGAACTACAAACTCCTTCAGAATTGGATGAAACTTTTCTTTCTCATGTTCTGCAATAAGGCAAAAAGCACAACAATTTGCACTTGCACTTGCCTCTCTTCCCATAAAATATTGCAACTTGCTGCATCTTCTTTAATTAACATAAAAGAGACTTCCAAAGTATGCATGATTTATGGCAGCTTTCAGAAGCAGAAAAATGTTTTTATACTACACATTATACTCATTATGTGACTGCCTATCATATTAAGGCTGGACTCTGTAAAAATGTAATTATAGTACAATCATCCTCCTTAATTTTTTTCCCTGTATTTCTTTCATTTTTATTTCTTTCAAAGAAACCGTATTTCACATTTTAAAGTTTTTATTTTTCTGTAAGGCACAGCACACTTCCTATAGTGTTGACTCTCATTTTGCTAGATAATGAAAGATAAATTTGTGAAAAATCCTTATGTCCCTTCAGCTCACAGAAATTATGACTCTATAGCTAATAACATCTACTGCTTGACTCCTGATCGTCATGATGAATTTTTAAAATTGTGCACTCAAGATGCTCTAAAGGTTAATTTTCACCTCCAAACCCCACTCTCCCTCTAAGGAGGGAAGCAAAACTTCCCCTCCAATTCTCAGCTTCACGTTAAGCTATAAAACAATTACATCAGAACAATCCCAATGTGCATTTAAAATGAGAGAACAAAAAAGTTCAGTGATTTTGTAACAGTTGATCTAAATTAGTACAGAAGATGTCACTTTGAACTTACTCTGTCAGTGGGACTGAAAGGAGATTCCTACACTGAACTAAGACAACAAGATACACTTTATTGTCCAAGGACAGAATCTGTCTGCCTTTGCTGTAAGATTCAGTGTGTCCTCTAAGACAAGCCAGGTGAATTCTTCCCAAAAATGACAATGCCTCTCCTTAGAGTAGAAGGGAGTGCAGATGGTACCTCTTGAGTGCACTATGGGATTAATCCTACCCAGCATCTCTAGGTTGGTGGTGGCTTTGTGACCAGCATTGTGTCCACTGACATGAAGGAGTTAAAAGTGTGCATTTCATGTTTTAAAGTCTAGCCCATAATCTGGCATTCTTCTATAGAACAGCATTTAATTTGCATTTACATGAATGCATTATATAGTTTATCAGAATGTTGGATCAATAATTCAACATATGCCATCTAATAAATTTTGAAATACTACTGCCTAGTTGGCATATGTTCTATAGGAGCATACTCTTTATTCTATAGAAACCTTTGCTTTATATTTTATATGGATGATTGAAATATATTTTAAATTTGTTTTACCACACTAAAATTGCTCCTGCAAATTTGCTGAGGCTGTTGGCTACAGATTTCAACTACATTTTCCTCTTAGAATTGTACCATCCTCTGAACTTCATCCTCCCGATTTCATGATTTGATTTTTTAAAAAAGTACATCTAATTCACTCATATATTAAAGGAAAGTGATTTTTGCTTTGTTGCAGTTGCAACACGTCAGTATCTCACAAAAGGGCATGGCAGCATCAGACAGGTTTCATTTATTTCCTTGTATCCACAGCTGTGCTCCCAGACCCATCTGGCCACACAGCTACTAATCTTAAGAGGATGTAATAAACAAGTGACATACAACTGCAGGCTCCATCTGCTCAGGAGAGTGGACAACAAAACCATACAATGCAGGCACCATTCACACTTGACACAGAGAGCAAATTCATTCCAGTATTAAAAAGTTTTTCCCTTGTTTGGATGCCACACTTCCCACGCTTTCTGCTTTACAATAGGTTTACCTTTCCCCTCCCTTCTCCCCAGTCTCCCTTATGAAATGCTGTGGATAGCAGCAGCAAACTTTTCAGAAACCTCTGCATTAAAGATTTGTTTCAAAGGAAGTGGAATTGGGAAAACCTTGAGTTTTATTCTTAGGCTGCCCAGTAACTACTTGACAGAAACAGTTCTTTAATTCCTCTGCCTAAGTTTCACAATGAGTAACACTGGGATAACAATACTATTTTCCTTGCACAGCCACTAGGAACTGGGTGGGTGGATCAGTATTTATTATGCCTGGGAATGAAAAGTCTCTCTAAAACTCCAGGTTTAAGAATTATGCAAGAATCTTAGATTTGAGTTACTGAAAAAGGCAGAGTAACAAAAATCTAAAATAAATGGCCTTACAAAGGACATCTGGCTCTCAGCAAGGGATATGTAGTCTCTTAAGAATTGCTTCCAGTTTATGAACTTTTATAAACATAAATTTTGCAAGGTAAATAGCAAATGAGATGCTATACCACTGTACTGGATTTACAACAACAGATACATATTGTCATTTTAATTTGTTTTATACTTTTCAGGCTTTGCTGTTTGTATTTTAAGTCATGCATAGAAATGAAATGTTAAAATACTCCCCGCTTGGCATATATAGCTCCTTTTCTCTTGCACTTTATGGATCATCCCCATCATCCTCTGCAAAACCCATTTACTCAAAGGATTTCACCATGAATAATTAAAGAGTAGAGAAAAAGTCCTATAGAAATAAACTTAAAATGATCAGAGGGTTTTTTCTTTCCTCCTTTTCTTTTTCCTTTTTTTTTTTTTTCTTTTATGTCATGGTACAGAACACTAGGAAACAACATCTCTACTCTCAAACCCCAAAGTACAGTCATAGAAGCCTTTAAAAAGGAAGAGAATTTTCTATTTTATCCTCTTATATGTAGAATAACGTATGTAGAACCCTACTGCTTTCAGTTTGGTTAAGTTTTCCAGAAACTTTTCATAAAGAAAACGCATACCATTACAGCATAACGTAGATTTAATTCTCCTATCATTTTTTGTCAGTTTTATGTCTCTCATGCCAAAGTACTTGGATTATGTCCTCAAATTCACCCTGATGGAGCAAGTGGCAGAGCTGGGATCTAAACAAGATTAATCGGGGCGGGGGGAGGAAAAAATGTTAGCTATGATAAGCCAAATCTGGACACTGTGTATGGCAGCACCATATCCTATACATTTAGAGAAATATCATACTTCCAGGAAATGTCGAGGGGGTTGGTTTACACGTTTCTTAACCGTCCTTCAAAGAGAATCACACCTTTTTTACCTAAAACCTGTTTAAAACTAAGTGAAAGAGTACCACAAATTGCTCTCTTTGAAATGCTAAACTCTCCCTAGCTCTTTCTGAAAAGAGATGAAAAGAAAATCATGCTGACCAAGGATATTTGTAAAAAAATACATATAGGATCTGACAATCTTTTTATCTCATATATTTCTTAACTGAAGACTTTAGGTGGATATTCACTGTGACCATGTTTTAGAGCTTCAACAAAATCATATTTATAAATGAATATTTACTTCCTTAATACAGGACATTCTACAGCTACCAGAAGACAGCAAAAGTAATTTATGAACTTTTATCCACACTCTTTAGGTTCTAATTTTTTACTGTGAAAATTTCATTTGGAAGAAAGATCACTGTTGTCTCAAATAATGAGAACAAGGTGCTATTAGAGAGTCATCGAAAACACCTGGCTATATAACTACCAAGCAACAGGATTCATTTTAAAACAGCTAAATGCAAAATAATATATGCAGGTATCAAAGATGCAGACAGTACTTATAAAGTGGAGTACTCTGCCTTGAAAAACTGTGACTCTAAGAAGGTTTTTGGATTTCATGGGTAACTACCCCTTCAGTGTAATTTCTGGATGTACAAAGGTGGAGGGATTTCCAGCAGGGAAATGACCAGTATTTATTTTATCATAGAGAAGAATGAGAGGTAGTTTGGTTACAGTATATAATTATATACACCTGTATTTAAATAAAGCATTTCACAGTGTGGGGTCCTTTTATCCTGTTCACAACAAACTTTCAAGGCCCAGCTGCAGTTAGGTAAGTTCAGCCTTGAACTAGGATGCCATTTTCTAGAAGCAAGAATGGTTGAACATTCTTCAGGAAAATACGGATTTCCATACCTGTGAGTCTTTTGTCATCTGATCTCTCTCAAAAATTTAGCAATTGGAAAGAATACTTCAACTTGGACTTGTGTGAAAAGAAGGACCTGGCTGACAGGACTCAGTAAACTCATCTCTCCTCACTGGTCCTTCTCCTTCAGGAAAACTCAGATAATTTCCATGGTCAGTTCTACATTCTGAAGTATTAGATTATTAAAAGTATTAGGACCCTATGTTTAACTGCTCAGACTTTTTAATATAGCATCAAAAGTTTTCTGATGTTGACATTTTCCTCCAATTGTATGGGAGAAATTAATTTCTAGGATTTGAGGTTTTGCTGTTCATTATTCTTTGAAGTGCTACAGACTGGTCCTAAGTAGAGACATAAGAAGGCTTGAGAAAGATGGGCTACTGCTCCAAGCTGGTACAGAAAATCCTCCTAAGATTTTGATTGGTGCATCTTCTTCACATGTCAAACCACCATGATTATGATACTTATGTGCTCAGGTCAGGCAAGAGTCTGATTTTGTTCTTTTCTTTGTACATGTTGTTTCCCCTCCCTTTCATTTCAAGGTCAGGGATCTAAGCCTGACTACAGGGATAACTGGGAATATCACACTTTATTCATTGGTGGCACATTAAGATGCTCTGCATTTTGTGAGACACGTAAGTTTATAGACCCAGTATTTTGGCCATTACAAAGTGCTTGGACTTTGCAGAAAGTATTTGGATGAAATTTTATGATCTGTAACATATAGAATTGCAGATCAAATTATCTAATAGTCTCTTGTGGCCTTAATTTCTACAAAGCTATGAAACTGTATCTTGGCAAATGTAGTTCACCAACTTAGCAGATTATGAACAGCATGAAATCAAAGAATATCCTTGGCTAAAATACACTAGGAATGTCTTGTCATCTATTCCTATCTAACTTGTTCCAGACGAGATAAAATCTCCATAGTGAGGTATCTCACTACACAACAGATTAAGCAGATATGCAAAAGAATGACAGACATTTTATTTAAGTAAGCTCTCACTTTGTTTAGAAAACGTTTTTTCCTTAGCTGAATCAATGTACTGTGTTGCTACTAATACTCTGTGGAGTGATATTCTGCAGTCAATAATGTCTTTCAAGTACTTTGCAAATAGTACTGTTAAGATTTGTGCCTACCTTTCAAGAAGAGAGAAAACTTCATCACTTGTTGCATAGACCACTAATTTATTCTTGCAGCCTGTGAAAAAAATCTCTCCCCAAGAACTCCTATAACTTTTGGTCTCTGCATACCAAATTCCAGCTATCTGGGGTCCAAGCTGGGGTCCAAGCTTCCACACCTTCTCAAACCATTTTCTGCTTGTCACCCTCCTGCTGGCATGTTTTCCTCATCCAATGTGAGCAGAGCTAACACCAGTGGTGCAAAGGCTTTCCTGCTCTGCTTGGTAAGGACGAACAGTTGGGCTTCCACCAGCACAAGCCCCATGTGGGGCCAACAATATGACCCTGAGAAAGTTCAGAGGCTCCCTTTTTGGTACTGCTACAAAGAATTTTGTCTTGTCCAAACACCAGGAGATCTATAGCACACTGGTTTCTCTTGGAGCTGTTTCTAGAGAGAGGGTCCTGCTTTTCCAAGAGACACAATGTATTTTGGCACTGTCTACATTAGTGTCACATAAACAAACAGAGCCAGTACAATAGCTCTGCTACAATATTTAATCTTTAAACATGTTTAAAGAGCAAATATGACACACCAAGTGCTAGCATGGTCACCCTGGTTGAACTAACTTCGGATAGTTATTAGTGCTCAGCTGCTTCTCTGACATTATCAACACAGATAAAAATCCCTCATTGGGGAAATTAAAAAGTACTAAATGCCAGTGACTGAAAGAAACTTTGTTACTTTAAACCTTGCATTAAAATGACAAGGCAATCAAAGTTTGACAAGACAAGCTAATTAGTATGCCAGCAATGAAATGTGAAGAATCTCCAGAGGATTGGTTCTGAAAAGTTTTATGTCATTTATAGAGCCTTTTTTTAAGCTAATGTTGTCAGCTCTCATGTGAAATACACAACAGTTGAATTTCATTATCCTTGTAGAAATTAAGAACTAAAATCCCTTCACTGTATTCTAGCCCTTTTTTTTCCTGCCCTAAATACTACACTAAGTCTTAGTTTACAGCCCGGCATGTAAGTTCTTCAGGACACTAATGCAAAACAACCCTAGAGTTATCAATGACATAAAAAAGCCTATTGTTTTAAGTGACTGTATGGTGCTCATTGTGTTAGCTTATTGTGTGTTTGTATTTCACAGAACTACAAATATATTCCCCTTTCTCAGAGAGTTTATGCTTTTACATTTATCGTTCCTCTACAATATTTTTGTTAGCTTCAACTTAGCTTTTTATAATAAAAAGTTAATTTATTTTGAAATTCTGCATACTGCATCATGTACTGAATAGATATATATATATAAACAAATAAAATACATTCCAAATACGTGTATGTGTCTGGTTTCTTCCCAAAGATTTACAAAAACTTTGGACATTTCTATTTAAAATGCCTACTTATTACATTGCATTGTAGTTATATCACTTTTTTTTCTCTCAACACAGATTGAAGTTATTCAACTCCTACAGCACAGAATTGGGGATTACATAATGAAAAAGGACTAAAATCCCAGCCTTTGGAAGGTGAATCATTATCACCATTACTCATCCCAGGGAAAACAAAGAGCTCTGAAGAGACAGAGGAGTGGAAATGGGTTTCTGCTTGGGGTGGCAGGTGAATTCATTCCTGACCTACCTCACCTTTCCAGGTGCCCTCAAACAACAGATATGAGGCCCTGGAATCTGAGAACCAGGGAGAAGAAAGTGTGGATGAAGATCCATCCAGGCTGGAGGGGCTGCCTAGGGCAGGGCAACCTATCACCCACATCAAAACCTCCTCAATTAAGAAAATAAGAAGGGTAGTAGTCACTGGTGACTCCCTTTTGAGAGGAATGGAGGGCCCAATACCCCAACTGGACCCAGCCCATAGGGAGATATGTGAACCTTGGGGAAATCACCAAGAAACTTCCCAGTTTGGCACAGCCCACTGACTATTGCCCACTGGTTTTCCAGGTGGACACATACAAAGTCCCAACAAGACTAAGGATGATCAAGTGGGACTTCAGGGCCTTGGGACAACTGGTCAAGGATCTGAAGAACAAATTGTGTTCTCTGCTGTCCTGCCAGTTGCCGTCATACCAAACATAAATTGTCAAGAATTATTCCAAAAATTATCCAGAAAACAACAGAGGAGTAGTTGGGATAGGTGTGGAGGATAATTGTAAAAAGATAGCACTTGGACAGCTGGAGGACCTTAGCACTGGACTGAGAAAACAAGCCATGCTTGAGGGAGGGTATGGGTGATGGGGCTTCACAACTGAGCAGCCTCTCCAGGGCTAAGGAAGGAGATTTCCCTGCACACGCTCCAGGAGCATCTACTGCCCATGGTGAAGTTCTGCTGCTGGAGGGATTGAGCAGGGTGAAGAGCTGTCACCACAGGGTGGGCAGAGGTGCAGCTTTACCCCAAGACATTAAATACACCTCGCTTCCATGCTGAGCACTGTGGGGTCTGTCAGCAGAAGTGCAGAGTTTACAGAAATTGCTCATGTTCTGGTAGAAGTATTGTAACATTTAGTAAGCCTGAGATTGCTGGCATTGAGCAGGCTCAGTGAGAAAGATGCAGTCAAAAGCCTTCCTTCCTCTACAAGCAAATCCCTGAAGGGAAAGGTGCCCAACCTACCTTCTTTTTTGCTTCAGCTCTGTCAGGTTTTCTCAGCAATTTGGAAGCAAAACAAATTACTGTGATCTATTTGGGGATGATTCAAGTTGTTTTTTTGTTTCTTTGTTTTTTTAAGGTTCAGAAGCACAAAAATATATTACAGGCTTTTTTTTTTTTTTTTTTTTTTTTTTTTTTTAAGGCAGAAGCAGAATTGTAAACCTGAGACATCACACAGTGCAACTAGCAGAACCCCAGAAACACACCCACTCAGGACCTGGAGAGCACATGTGCACCTTCAAGGCAAAAGTCCTTTATTCACCAATACTCAAATCTTCATTACATATATGATTACCCATGTGCTTTCCCATTCACCCTCATTTTTAGGAAAGAATTATTCAAGAAAATAAGGAAATGAAACAGGTTTTGAAGGACCAAATCTCATACTCTTCTGACTTGTGAAAGACATGCAAAAAATGTGTACATTTTAAAAGAATTAGGCTAAGTCTCCAAGTAGAACATCACTTTTAAAAGGTCACGTCATTGAAAGAAAAATGAAAAGAGAAAGAAAAATTTAATAAGAAATGAAGGAAAAGGAACTCAAAAGGTTAATAATCTATCCTTTAAACAAAAAAGGCAATCTACTTTTTCTCATTAAAACCTGACACACAGCACTAACTGAGGAGATTATGTTGTGAAAACATACTGCATCGCATGGTAATGCTTGATCGAGATCAGCAATCAGGAGCAAAAAGAAAGCACTGTTTCGTGATTATAATAGCAAATTCTGGAAGACAACCAAATACATCATCTGGCAGCCTAACAGCTGTTACAGCTTGGTAGTAATACCTTGGCATTTGCTATAAGCTATAACTTGAAAAAATTGATTTCTCATCTGCCAGAAACAAGAAAATGTTCTCCTTTTAACATTTCTGAAGTTTCTTTTACTAGAATACCCAGATAATAGATCCACTTTTTTATTTTCCTCAAGTTTTACTCTTGCTGTTAAGTTAATGGTGTACCAGTTAGAATAAAAAAATAAGTTTGAGGAAAAAATACTGGAGGCAACATAAATAATGTGTGTTCAGATAGATCCCATTTTGATGACACACTGGGTAGTAGGTAACAGAAAATATTTCTAATTGTCCTCCTTGCTCATATTCACAGCTGTGATCAAAATTGTTATGCTTCATACCTGCCTGAAACGGGAACATTTTCAAAATAAAGTTTAGTTCCTTTCCATATGTTTTTCTATTAGTTAAGCCTTCTTTTTCCAAGTCAGAGATAGCACACAAGGATGCAGACTGAGACAACAATGCTGAGAATTAACAATACTTAACAAAACTAGTCTTTATATTACTACTAGTACAGGATGAGAAGAGGAACATGGGAAATGTTTATTGTAATTTGTCTAACTATATAAAATAGTTAAAGAATTTGTTCTATGTGTAGAGAGGCTCCCGAAAACCATAAATTTTCTAAGTACACAGTACTTGAAACCTTAAAGTAAGCATGCATCATAACAAGGACATAGACTACGTAAAATCTTTCAGCACTTCAAATATTCAAGCCATTTTAGGGTTAAGTAAAAGCAGTTCATCATAAATATTTTAGATTCTAGCATTCTACTTAGATTTTGAAGTGTCATAAACAATTTCTCTCAGAAATCAATATTCACACAGTACATCTATGGGGAAAAGAAACAAACACAAAGGTGGTTTGAGCTATGAAAGTGGTCTCTACCTTTACGCCTAGTGCAGTTTTCTTGGCCTCTGCTTTTAATCTTGTAGCTCTTAACATAGGTCTGGTTTTCTTATAATCTTGTTTCCCTAGAGTAAAAAAGCATACTCAATGAAAACAATGCAAAAATAATATAAAGAATGTGAACATTTATTTCAGTTGAAGAGTCAGATTTAACATATTAAAAACATCCCACAGTCCAGCATTTTAAACAACAACTACTCTGTAAAACAGAGATTCAATCTGTGGAAAAACCATGCTTAACACAGACAGTGCCAGAAACAAGACCCAACAAATCAGTGTAAAACCTCTTATTCCAGAGTGACATTAAAATATATGCATGGATAGATATCCACTAGTACAATGTTTAATAAATTGCTCCATAGGAATCAGCCAGCAAATAAGTAGATTAAAGGTAGATTATGTTTTTCCCTCTTCTTGAAATCAAAACAAAAATTTTCATTAGAATTTTTCTTGATTAGTGATCTCTAGTGCACATATAAATGTGCAATAAAAGACATTCTGGTGAATGTAAAGGTCCATAATGCTGAACTGGAACACTATTTGCAGGTATCACAACTCAGAGATATGGAGATCAATCTAAGTAAATGCTAATAAAACCACTGCTTGACACAATCTGCTTGTAGAAATACATTACACAAAATCTTCTAGATTAACTTTCTACAGGTTACAGGGACTAGCTCTTGCAGACACAAAGAGTGCAGCCCAGGGCTTGATTACTATGAATCCATATGAACTGAGTTCAGAAGGGGACATGCAAGTATTCAGAAATGGTAGAAATAATATAAATCATTTATCTCAACTTAATAACGAAGCATAAAACACTTGATATCTTTTAGGGATAGTTCTGCTGTCTGAAAGGCCTATTAGTGTTGTATTATGAACTATTCATCATAGCTTCTTAAGTGTACAGAAGTCAAGGTACAGATACTCTCACAAAAGGAGAAGAAAAAGAAGAATCTATGAAGAAACTGCTCGGAGGGATAGAGCCTCAGTACAACTGCTTTGGCTTTTTAAAAAAGTTCTTGTCATCTTTTCCCCTCCTAATGCATACATATATTTTTTGTTCTTTATGCCTAATTCCAAAGCTAAACTATAATGCTTAAAGCAGAGTGTCTGGCCTTTTTCAAATCACTAAGTTTGCCTATTTGTACATTAGCTTTCATTACTGCTATAGTCAAATAGTTTAACCTCTCCTCTTAAACTTTGTCCAGTGCTTTTGTATACAAAAATCTCATTTGTCTAAGCAGATGTGATTTTACATTCATAATCAATAATGCAAACTTCTCATTTTATGGCTACCTTGAAAACTGGGATATTATAATGTAGTGATGAAATTCTAAAATGTGAATGTCTTCTTCCAGTGATACACTGGATTGATGGAAACACACTTCTGACTTTCTCTACTCCTTGTATCAGCCTGTTCATACTCAATACAGAGATCATCTGTGTAGCATACCATGAATGCTGAACTCACATTTCAAATTTGCTTTCATTGTATAATCCCTCCTCAGTCCCATGGATTATATATTGTGAAAGTCTCCATACCATTCATTGGTCAGATATTATTCATAGAAGACTTAAAATAACTTAAAAATACTCAATAACAAATGAAAAAATAACAGAAATCATACATATTAGGAATAAAAAAAGGCAGCATATATCCAAGGAAACTTAGAAGATAGACTGAAGAAAGGATGACAGAAAGATGATTTATGTAAGATGCTCCAATATATTCATCCAGTCAATACATCTCATTAGCAGGACAGGACCACTGCAGCATTATTTTTCAGAAGTCAGTAATATATGATAATAGGATGCATCAGGAATACAGTAATTTTTTAGAACAGCTGGAGAAAGACTTCCAGACACCACAAAAATGGCTAAGTCATGAGATGAATCCAGCCAGAGAGAGAATATGTTTCGTCTCCCTAAAGTCCCACACTCATATTTTCACCATGAAATAGTTAAAAGATCTTTCAGAATTTCCACTATAAACGTCAGGAGTTTATTACTCATAAAAATACAGTCCAGGCTGAAATTTGGCGTAGACACACCCAGCCTTGAATTTTTTTGGTTTGTTTGTTGGGAGCCAACTTTCGTAAGTGATGCAGCTGCTCTTACTTGTGAACAAACTATAGAAATGTATCAATCTGAAATGTTTTAAGCATGAAAAATATCTTTGTTTAGAACCATATAACTGACAAGTGCTAAGTTCAATCTCAGTTCTCATAATTCAGGTTTGCTACTCTTCCATCAGGGGTAAATGACACAAGACAGTCAGAAATTTCCCTTCCAGTGATGCAACAGCATTAGATAATGAAAACTAGAGAGCTTGAAAAGGTCCATAAGAAATGGAACACAAGCCAGCTAGTAAACCCATCTCCCTTTCCTCCCATTGCCCATTCTCCCTCCTCTCCTCCACAGCTCAAGTGTGAAGGTGACACAAGCAGGGGCAAATATTGCATAGAAGACTCAGTCTGTGAAATACATATATGGGCAGAACCGTGTTTATTCATCCAAATGAGAAAACTTATTGGTGCTCTTTGCCTTGGTTTCTGGCACCCTGCTACTCTTTATTCCAGTATCATGGCTACAGCTAAGACTGGATTCAACCTATCTAGAGAATACTTCCAGATCTTATATTATGTCTGATATGAACAACTAACCCTCCTATAACAAACAGGCTATTTCAGTGATGACTCTAGAACTGGTAGCTCTCCAAATCCATGCACCTGCCATTAATTTACCACTCTCCTTGCTAAATGGAATAGCCAAGAGGAAAAAAAGTACAGTAGGGAAACAGTCTGAGTCCACCAAGTGCAAAAGTTTAAAAAGGGCATCTGTGGACTTCTTTGTAATGAAAACCAGATTCAGCAATCATACTAAAAGACTCTTAAAACATGCGAACTTTCTGAGGCCTTGGGAAAGACATCTGCACTACAGGACTATAAAGAACAGTGAAATGCAAAGCTCCTGCCATGTGAATACTGATCATTACCACCTGGAAAACAAGCAGAAAAAAGTAATATAGGCTCTCTACATCCTTCCTTCTTTTGGGATTGCAAATTCAACCAGTTGGAATAAGTATATTCACACTCTCAATGTCTTCTAGTTTTATCTCACTTATCCTGCAAGCTGTCTTGTACATTTATCTGTCAGAGTCATCAGTTTAAGCTATTTCTTCTTCTCAGGAAGTGATCATCAAAGCCAGTTGAGATAGACTCATCAGACAAAGCCCCATTTGTCTGCTTTATCCAATGCCTATCTGAGACACCAAGTTTTCCTGATGGAATATATGAAGGCAAGAAGAAGCCAAAAAGATACAACTGGAAGATTTCCAGACCAAATCTTACTTTTCTTATTATTTAAACAAAATCCTTTCCTCTGACTAGTCATTATTGTTACCAGTTTGTCATCTCTCAAACTCTAAACTCTAGGGCCAGCTTCCCTTAACTTTTCTTATAACTACCCCTAATTATTTATTTTTAAACAAATGCACCACTTCTTTCCTTTTTCAGGTCCGTCACTTCCTTTTTTTAAGGCCAAAGAAGTACCCCGTGATAAGGCAACTATTTTTACTAACTACAGCTCTCTGCTTGTCCTGCTTCCTGCCAGTCCCTCCAAAGATCATCCACCTTCCCATGCAGAGCTTGATGCAGCCTTTGCCTCTCAGAAACCCTACAGGGTTTGCCTTGCACCTCGTCCCTTCCTTCCATCCATCCTTCTTTTCCACTCCTTTGGTGGCAAAGTGACCTCAGCAGCACCTGAACTGAGCTGTGCCATGTTTATACTTCCTGTTTGGAAAACTTTCCACAGGTAGAAATGAAGACAATTTTACCAACTGTAGGATTAGAAAAGGGTGAAGATAAGGGAGCTTTTTAGCTACTCTAACAACTATATTGTGAAAAATGAAAAAGGGTGCCTCCTTCAGAATGGATATTAGGGATTCATACAATATGCAAAGTGAGTTTGTTTCTCTTCATGTAACTAGGAATAAAAATCTATAGATTTTGCAAGTTGTTTTTTTTTTTTTTAACTCTGCTTACAAGGGAAAATGAGATCCCATACATCTTCTATTCAATAATTTTAATAACATATTAGAGATGATCTGATCTTGTATATTCAGTATTCTTTTTTAATTAAACCTCCAATGACATGACGATAAATGCAAAAAACCTCAATAATATGTGTAAGACAAGTTCATTCAACTAGACAAGTTCATTTAAGTTCAGAGTTAATTTTTTTTTAGCCTACAGAAATACTGTGACACTACCAGGTAGTTATGCACAACACTGTACTTCTGCATACATACCAAGCTCCTTTATACATGAGAATGCAGCATGTTGAGCACTGTATTTCAGAAAACTGACTACATAAAGGATTGTGTTTAAAGATGCTGCTGTTTAAGACACAACCGGAAGAAAATCTACAGAATAACTTCATGAGGAAAAATAAAATTTTATTTCCAACCCTTCTAGATATTTACTCTTTCATTCTAACAATAGCTCATTACTGGAATTGAATAACAGACTAAAGACTGCTTTTCAATTCATCAAGCTTAAGCAGAAACAGGACTGCATCTTTGGCCTTTGTTGATGCTGCTGTCCAAGCTTATTATCATATGAATATCTAGTTATTGTTTTATAAATGTTCACATTTCAGGAGCTCCCTGCTTTCTTTTCTCTCAGCAGACTTTACAATATCCACCTTCATTATCATCATGTGGCAGCATTGCTCTTCGCCTGCATTTGCTACTTTAAAAATTAATGCACTGCTATTTTCTGAATACTGTACTGCGTAAGCTGCTTATGAGTACATTATGCTATCAAGCAAGCACATGCAGAAAAGCTTCCTAAACTGTTATTCTTTCAATGAAAATACAGCTGGTTCTGCTTCAAAGGCACTTCTTTTCACCTGCAAATGGACTTGCTTCTACACTTATTCCTCATTTCATTGTCTTTTATTTGTGTCTGCAAATCTTTAATTGCCTTTAATTAGAAAGAAGTAAATTCAGTGCTTTAATCTTGCAAATACATTCAATCATAATTCTGTCTGGGATGAATAC